GGGAGCTGCCAGATACTGAAGCTGAAGGTTTGGATGCAATGTCATTGTGGAAGGGACCTGCATGGAGCTCTCTCTATGGAAAGGTGGAGGCAATGGAAGAACAGCTCTGCATGCAGAAGCGGAGGGAGGCAAAAGCCTATGATTTCTGACATGCCAAATGGGTTTGTTGCTACCTAACAACTGTAATGTGGAATGGAAACATCTATGTTAGTAAACTGAGCCCAGCGACAGGGCACTCCTTTGCCTCAGCTCAGAGCTGGGGAGAAATGGGCACCAGTTGTGAACCATCTTAACCATGAGAGTCAGAGGAGGGGGAACATACTGCCCCCAGTCCTACCCAGACAAAGAACTCAAATCCAGTGCTCCTTCCAGATGTGCTCAGCCCTTTTTTTGCACCTCTGCTGGTGGCTACAACTGTGACTGCCTTTATACAGACCACATCTCCCAACCACCTCACACGCACCATTTCATCCCACTTCAAAGCATAACCCAGGGGATGATCCTGAGCAGAGAAGAGACAAATGAGGCCTGATCAGTCTTTTTTCCCTCTAGCACTGATGGAAAAGTACCAGCCAAGCAAACAGCGGTGTGTATAACTGCTAATAATGACTACGCTACTGCATCTTGTGCCTGCTATGTCCCCACCTGCAAAAGTGGGCTGATCGTGACTTGCACTGCACCTCAGGGGAGTCTGAATTCATTAAAGTCTGTACAGTGTCCTGAAGACTTGTCTATACTTACAAGCTTTGCTGGAACAACCAGATACAAACACACAGCAGAGAGCTGTACTAGCAAACCACCCCAGAGACACCTGTGACAAAAGTAAGAGAGGTCTGGGGACCGTACAGGGACACGGACAAGCGAACAAACGTGAGCTAGTTAGAAACGGGGTATGCAGGAGGCCTGCAGGAACTTCCCATGTGTGCGCTCTTATCCTGTAGCAAGTGACCCTTATAGCTTACGCCTCAGTGACCCAGGGCTAAACTGCCCCAGCCTAGTTTTTATTTACCGAGGGGTAAGAGCATGCACATGGCCAGTTAAAAACTTGCAAACCGCTAACTAACTCATTATTACTCATTTCTTTGTCCATGCCAAAGTTTAGCCTAGCTGTCCCACTGCAGCAAGCTATACCAGGAAGGTAAAGGACTCTTGCAGGGATCACTACAGCCACATTATGGTTTTTTGCTAACATAGCTATATCGAGGGGATTGATTGATTTTTTCCCCACACTCTTGCATGCCCACATGACAATCCAACACATGCTCACTAGCCGCAGGGTGTGTCGTCCCCCCCACCCCATGTACAGCTCTGCTGGCAAAGCTTTAAATAGAGACCACAAGATGAGATCCTTCGAGAGAAGAGTCTGGAGGAGAAATACATGTTGGCTTATGAGAGATTCACAACCCACTTCAAGAGCAATTAAGGACCTGACCCCAGTTCTTAAATACTGTGCATCTCCTGTCACAGAGGAAAGTATGTTAAATGGTGCTGCCAATTATATCCTGAGAGTTTTTTTCTTTTGTTAATTGTTTTTTTCCCCAGGTCATCCTTTTTATATGAAAGGAAATAAAAAGACTGCATAAAATAACACCCTGATTTTTCCCGTAACCACTGCTGATTTAAAAGTAACCCTCTCTTATCCAAGAATTCACAGTGCTTTATCAATACTTCATCCCCCTTCCCCCTGGGAGGCAGGTGAGCCATTTAAATATACACAGAAACTGAGAGGCAGCAATGACTTACCAATCACACCACAAGCCAGTGACAGAGCCAGCACCCATGAGTCCTGGAGTCTAGCTCCCTTCTACTAGCCATTAGACAGTATTGTGTACTGGTATATAGCCACCAACACGCCTCTCTGGAAGGGATCAACCTTTCTAACCCCCAAATAGACCAAATCAAAAGTTTTGTTACACTAGAGCAAGTTCACAACAGGCAAAATAAAGGGCATTAAAGCAGGGCACACTAAGCCTATTGGCACTGTAAGACAGGATCTACCCACTGGCAGAGCCAGAGGTACTGGAAGTCCTTGTGACAGAGATCCATGAGGCACCTGAAACCATCTCTGCAGCACCTGTGTATCACACGATGCCCCTAGCTGATCAAGACCCATCAGCTTAATTTTTGCTACTACCCTGCCCCTTCTAGTGCACTGCGGAGCCTAAGCTGCACACTTACTCTGCACTGGTGTCAACCTCTGTGCAACATGGGAGAATCCAACCCTGGGGTCAGATCCTGGCCCTACCACCTGCATGACTTTGCCCTGTGCCTCAGTTTCCCCACCTGCAGTAGCAGGATAAGATGCAGTTGCCCCTTTCAAAGTGCTTTGAGATCCGTCAGCAAGAAGCAGCTAAGAAAGTGCTGAGGGTTCTCACGGCTCCAGGATCCAAATCCCTGATACGATGGGACCCCGTCTCACACTGGGCTTTCCCCATCAATACCTTTTAATCCAACCTGGTGAAGGAGAAGCTGTGATATTAGTGTGCTCCTGCTCTCACGATCCCACGCTCTCTAGAGCGCTGGCAGAGTCTGATTAACGGTTCCTGGAATAATTACCACCCAGCGGGGTTCACTCGCTGGGAATGCAGCAAAGAATCCTGTACTAATCCAAGGCATGTTCCTAACTGATGGCTTTAACCCTTGGGAAGCCAGCTTTGCCACAGGCAGCTAAAGCCTTGGGAAGTGGCTAGTGTCCCGTATGGATCTCTGACTGGTGGGCAATGGCACAGGTCCCAAGTCCCCCTGGGTGTGTGTACCTTACCTGGCTCATACCCACCCACCAGGAAGCACCAGCAGGCAGGTAGTAGGAGGAGAGGGACAGGAGAGATTTCAGAGGCTCTTCCAACAGCTTGTAGGGGATCTGGGTGGGCCCCTCCCCTGGTTGATGATTGAGCAGAAAGGCCAGGACTTGACCAAAGTCCCAGGCTGCTGGGCCAAGGGGCAATGAACGGTTGCTGCGAGGCAGGCAGGGGCAGGAAATGGAACTTGGAAGAAGACCCCAGAAGCAGGGCGGAGAAGTGGGCAGCTCCTAGGTCCTAAAGGGCCCAGAGACGCCCATGGTTAAGAAAAACCATAAATATGATTCTAGGCCACGTCACCTGCTTAGCAACAACAAACCTGGGTGTCCGAAGAGCAGCCTGAGAAAGACACGCATCCAAGGCTGGTGACAGCATCAGGCTGGAGTGCATGGGGATGAGTCACACAAGTCATCCCTGCAGGCACGTGTCCAGGTGAATCTCAAGTTCACACCCCAAGATCCTGCAGACCAGACTTAAATATGCTTCTTCCCACCCTCATGGTTCCTGGTTGATGATCACCCAAAGGCAAAGGGGCTCCTCTTCACTATAGTGCAATCACCCCAAAACCCCTCAGCTCTCTCCCTGCAGGAGGCCTGTTTCCAGCCCCGGGAGTCCTTGAGGTAAGTGTGTCCCTGGCAGCAGGAGCTTCCTCACAGGCTGTGCCAACTGGACCATGACATCCTTGAACCAGATTCCACATGGGAAGATGCTGATTTCATCATCTCCTCTCCCCTCCCCTCTCACCCAGGCAATCCTGGAAACCTCTCTCTACTGGAATCTGGTCTGTCCCTTCCTCTTTCCTCTTCCTCCTCCTCCTCACCTGCTCCGCCACTAGGTGAGGAAATGTCCCTGTCACGTGCAGCCTCGTGGATTCTATAACCTGCGCCCCGACAGACCCGGGACTGGCTGGGCGGGTTATTAGGCTGCCAGGTATTTCAGGAATTATAATGGCAGGCAAGAAAAGACAGGTATCGATCCACGTACAGACTTACGCACACTCCTATCCACATAGGGATGGGGCATGCAAAGCACCCACATGACTATGCAGCACCCAAGAATTAGCAGCTGGACACGCACGCAACAGCATGATACACACTTGTTAGCATCTGGGTGTTCATCCTGCGTAGCCATATCACTACACCAATACATACAATAGCATCTGTGTTCATCTTACATCCCCACGTGCTACACCATGCTCTTGTTAGCATCTGCCTTGCACAGCTCCCATCTACACACTCACACATGAGCCCCAGTGGGGCTCCCAGGGCCCCGTGGGAATAGTAATAAATGAGTTACTCCAAAAATAACAATATGTCCGGAACACCGTCATCCAGAGTGCACAACACGCCCCTCCACCACCGCCCACACATGCCAATTAGCCAAGTGCATGGTGGGAATTTCTTCCTCCTGTGCCTGGCTCTGAAGCATCAGGTACCAGCTGCTGAGGCACTCAGATACCATAGCGATGGGTCTGGAGGAACCGAGGCTGAAAGAGGGCAGCGAACTGGAGCGCTGGTCTGATGCATTACACAGTGGGATACTGTCAAACCTAGAACAGCAGTTCCCCATGCTCTCTTACACATAGCACCCACACAGAGATACAGGCTTGCAAAAAAACACCCACCCAGGCACCCGCATGCGCTGATACGTAGGCAGTGCATCTCCACAAGGGTCACAGGCCCGCCTCAACACTTACATTTCCCCAGGGCTCATGCTTTGATATTTTATATTTCATCCCCTGCCATGAGATACAAGCAGCCCAGTGAATGCCTTATATTTCATCTCCTGCCATGAGATACAAGCAGCCCAGTGAATGTCACTGGTATGCTACAGCCTGAGAATAGGACCCTAGGGTCACCAACAAGATGTTGCTCAGGTCCCTTGGTGTCTCTTGGATGCGTGTGGGAAGTGCATTTGAGGCTAGCGTCCCCCTGGCTGAGCTCCTCCGCAGCACACAGGCTGCGGGTCTGTAGTACAGCGGGGAGAGGATGCCAGGCGACTTTCAAAGGAGGTGGCCTGGGGGACAGCCCTACATTTTGATGCAGTTCACACACTCCGAGATCCATCTCTGCCCACCACCAACCAGCAATGGCTCACAGAAGTGCAGCAATAATCTCAACACACGTGACAGAGGCAGGTAAGTACATTCCTCTCTGCTTTACAAAAGGGGACACTGAGGCACCAAATAACAAAGCAACTCACCTGAAGAAAATAGGCAGCAAAGTCAGGAATAGAGCCCAGGTATCCTGACTCCCGGGTCCCTGTCCTCCCCACTGAATCGCGCTCTTTCCCAGAGCCGGGCAGAGAATCCAGGTATCCAGCATCCGCGGTCCTGCTCTCATCAATCACTACCTGACCCTGCATGAAACGCCACGTGTGCATCACTCACACACACAGCTACACACTTGTCCAGAGTCCTCACACCCACCTCCTTCTGCAAGAAAGGCGAGGCACAAATCCCCTTCCTCCCCGAGTCCATCCCGGCCTGTGCCGCAGAAAAACCTAGTCCCAGCCTGCTGCTTCCTTACCCTCCGCTCAGCACACCCCTAGAAAGAGGCGCACGCCCCAGGCACCAGCTTCCCACCCCACTCCAGGCGGGCAGATATCGTAGGGGGATGATGCTCAGGATGCCACTAGAGCCGTATAAGTCCACTACCGTCCCCAGAGGATGGGCGATGGAGGGGTCCGGCCCTTTGCATGGAACAAAGGCTGTGATGTCCCCCAGCCGTCCAGCGGCAGGCGGGCACGCAGGAGCCGGGGGGGCCTGGCCTGCGCTCGCTCACCTGCCATGGCGGGGGCCTGCAGGCTGGCCCTCTTCTTGAAGGGGTACTTGTTTCGGGGAACCCCGGCGGCGGATGACATTTTGCTTCCGTCTGCCTGGGCTGTGACTCAGAGCTGCGGAGCCGGCGGGTGCTGCGGGCTGGGGACTCTTACTGCAGCAGGGACGCGGGAGGCAGGCCGCGCTCGTCCAATAGCCGGGCTGGGCCCCGCCCCTGGTTGATGATTGATGCAGGAAGCCCGGGGCTGGACCAAAGTCCCAGCCGGCGGGGCACAGAACAGCCCCCCGGGGTGTTTCCTAGGCGACCACCCCCAAACCCCGAGCATCCCCGGGTGACAAGCCGGCCCCATGGCGGAGCCCGTGACCCCAACCAGCCCCACTGGGGAGACCCGCACACACAGGAGCCGCAGGGCTGGCTAGAAACCGGGCTCGTTTCCACTAGGCTGCCACGTCCCAGCCGACCACAGCTTTTCCCCTCTCGGATCCGGCCAGCGCCCTGGCTGCCAAGGGGGGCAAGAAGCCCTGGACTTTTGGTGTTGTTTTCTCTGTGTGCGTGTGTGTGTGTGGACGCGATGCGGCGCCTACCTGCAGCCATGGCCGTCGGTGCGCGGGGCCCCCCGCGCGCCGGGGCTGCAGGGCCGGGGGCGGCCGGCAGGGGTCGCGGGAGCGCACGGGAGGGGTGCGCGCTGCCCCTCCTGGGTGGGCCTGCATGGCCCTGCCAGCCTGGGGCCAGCCTTCTCCATCCTTCCCCCGGGGGCACGCCTGGTTCATTGCCAAACCGTGGGTTGGACACTAGGGTGTCAAGGGGACGAGGGCGCTGGCAGTGTCCCGCCGCTGCGCGGGTTATTAAAATACGCTTGAGGACTCCAGATATTGCTGACAACCGTGAGGAAGCTCAGAGAAGAGGGAGAGGATCGGGGCAGATGCAAAGAGCCTGCTCTGCCTGACTAGGCCGGGCAGTCGCCTTAACTCTGCCCCGTTGGCCTGGGGCATGAAAACAACTTCCAGACGCCCCCGATGGCTCGTCCAGGCTGGCAGCGTCTCCAAGCAAAGCCAATCCCAAGGCTAGGCCAGCTGCTAGCCTGGCCGCGTCTCCCAGCATCGCAGCACCATGTACGGAGGAGTTCGTGGGAGATGCCGGGTTGCTGGTTCAAGGAGCACAGAGCGGCCCGCGGCACAAGCCGCTGTGATTCACTAGCACCCCGGAGGGGGAGGCTTCTTGCTGCTGGGCCCTTTATGACGGGGTTTGAGCAGCATAATTCATTCGGGAGTGGAAATGGGGGTCCGGTGAGGCTCCGTCCTGAGTGAGCAATGGCACTAACCATTCAAGAGCTGTTTGCACGCGCTCAGGTGGGGATGGCTGACTTCTCCCTCCTGGAACAGGCTTGTTAAATGAGGGCTTGCACAAAGCTAAGAGTGGGTGGAGATCCCAGGCTCGGCAATGCTGAGAACAAAGCAAGGCCCTCCTAAACCCCTTTGCCACTCCAGCTGCATTTAAGATGAACCCTGCCAAACTATGTGAGCAACAAATCAAGCAGGTATACAGCACGTTTCATCTGCTCACCACACAGCAACAATGAGGGATAAGTAGTCCTTATTGAGGATGGATAAACCGAGGCACAGAAAAATGGACTGTCTTGCCCAACTCAAGCACAGCTGAAAACAAAAACCTGGCCCACTGCCACCCACAGGCATTCTCCAGCCCAGGAGATGTTTCATTTATGACAGGTGACAAATGGAAAAGCCATCTGTGACCCATTAAGAATATCAGCCCGTCTGGGCCAGAATACCCAGGCATGAAACAAGGTCCTAATTGTTCTTCCCCTGTAGCCAGCGCTGCCCACCTGGCCGAATCTCAGTCTGATGTGAGGGCCTTCACTACAAATATTTTCACTTGCCTACAGGATTTCCCCTCTTCTCCTCCCAGAGAGCTGAGTAGTGTTATTCTGTTACTGTTAAACAGCAGATGTACCACCTAAGAGGTGGCTGCATGGATGAAAATGGCTAGCTAGTTAGCTAAGGCTGGCTGTACCAAATCCAACACTGGTGCCTGAGTCCCTAGAACTCATACAGATGCTCTTCATATAGCTACTAGTTAGTAAATAGCTACTCACTAACTAGTATAGTTAGTAAATAGCTACTAACTGCCATGTCTGAAACCCTCCCCTGGAAAGCAGTAGAGGAGGGCAAGCAGTAGTAGCGATCTTCATTACTATGTATTAACAAAGAAAAAGCTGTACAAAATGCATTTTCTTTGTTAATGCGTATGAATGAAGATCGCTAATACTGAATGTAAAACAACAGTCCCCAGCACCCAGAAGAGGGAGAGACAGTGCTTGGAAAAGGTTCGAGGGCAATTAAAATGTAGGGCATTAACAAGAGTCTGTTATGGAGACAGAAAAAAGAGCTCCCCAGGCAGAGGCCCACAGTGAGGGAGCTGTTTGCAAAAGGGAAAGGGACCAGAAGGGAGGGAAAGGGTCTTACCCGGCAGTGTCAGTACACACTGGTCTCTGCGTTGTCATTCAGGCTTCCCCCTGCCCCACACACTCTTCGGCTCGGTGCGCAGTTCTTAATCATATGACTGACAGCTCATATCAGAGCTGTCTCAGGTGTCACAGCAAACGGGCCAGATCCTGATCTCAGTTCTGTCGCTGGAAACCCCATGCAACTGCTTTGCACCCATGCAACTAGGAACAATACTAGCCTCCTGCACCAGAAACAGCACCCACCACACTGAAAGACCCCACTCAAGGATGTCTACTATGGTTGCTCCGTTTGGACCTGCCGCCCACTTCTCCACGGAGGACTGAGAGGCAGCCCGCTGCTTGCTCACCTTGCCACAGGGGCAACGGGTCTTGTTCAAGAGCTGAGCTCCAGCCGGGAGCTGAGTAACTCAAGCTACATGCACCGATGAAGAATCAGAAGAAGATGCATCATGGCTGTTGCCCATGTCCCATGCTCTCACTTGGTGCCTCCATGTCCACTCCCAACCCCTTCTGTCCTCACACCCACATATCTTTCATGCTTCTCAGTCCCCAGTTGGCCCATCCAGCCTCCCTCCTCAGGGTTTTGTAACAGGGATAGGAAATGTCTCACTGAAGTACAGCTTTTATTACCCCTCATTCTGGGAAAAGGGCCTGAATGACAACACGGGGCTGAATGGTCTGTACAAATGCTGGCCCCTTTCAGCAGGGATGCTCACTAGCAGGATGGGGCATTCAGCTTGGGACCTGGCTCTGACTGCCAGCAGGGAGCACTGGTGGCAGTGGCTGCTATGATGAGGCAGACTCTTGCCCACTGAGAAATGACATCCATCATCGGAGTGAATGCCTTGCAGTCACAACTGCCCCAGGCTGGATTACAACTGGTGTCCGCACAGGGCATCCACATCCCACAGAGATATTCCATCCCTGGAGATGTTCGTCCTCCCCAGCAGCTCCTCCTTTCTCTCCCTTCCTGCCACAGCCCCTCCTGGTCACTCCACCTCCAAACACGTCCCACTCAGCTCCCTCCACCTGTCTCCTGTCCCTCTGGTACTTAACTGTGGCTTCATGATGTGCCCAAGAGAGGCAAAGGGCCTGCAATGCCAGGGTAGATTTCAGTGCAAGGATTAGGACTCTTTCCCAGTGATTGCTCTGCAAAGTCACCCTAATCCAGGGCTAAAGAAGGGCATATTTTTAGAAAGCCTCTGAGCACAGGAAATTCCATGCCCACTCAGCCTGGAGCTCCTTCTTAACATGCACCAGAGCACCTCAAGGGGAGCCCCAAGGGAAAGGTATATTAAAGACAATCTTTTTGGGGTGCCTGTACTATCCTGGGGCTATAACAAAACCATGCACAGCTGCTGGCTCTGGCCTGCGTGCACATGGCACTCACATCAGAAAGAGGCAGGGTGTTAGGATCTCAAATTGGGAACAGATCTCCGGGTAGGGAGGAGGAGGAGAATGCTGCTCCGTGCCCCCTCCCACATGGAGGGGAAGGTCATGGTCGGTCGGATGTTGTCCTGATTGAGAGGCAGGAACCCTGCTGTTTCAGAGGAGGCTGGCAGTCACACGTCAAATCATGGGCTATGCATTCTGCCCCTCCATGGGCAGGGGCTTGGACACTGGTGGCTTTGCAGGTCAGGAATGGTGGGCAGAGGTCAAGGGGTTCCTTGATGTGGGAGTAAATCTGGTCTCCAGCTACTGGGCCAAGGGGAAAGAGGAGTTAATGACTCTCTTCCCGGGCAGGATCTAGGTGTCCATCACTAGATGTACGACCACTTCCCCAGGCAGACCTCCACAAACACAAGTTAGGAGAAGTCCACAGTCCAACTGCCAGTCCATGACACTGCACCTAACCCTAAACCCGATCCCACCTTTGTCAAAGGCATCTCTGGGACTCATCCCAGGCTTCATTCATCCAGTTCAGAACCAGCCCCTGCGCATCCTAACTGTAATCCTTAGAGCATGCCCAGTCCCCATAGAGAAGTAGTTCTCTGTGTTAGTCTGAAGCTCAGGAGGAGGCCTGGCAGGGTGGCACCTTATAGACTAACTCATTCAGAGAGGCATGAGCTTTCGTAGGCTACAGCCCACTTCCTCAGATGTTGCAAATGGGAAAGTTCGGAAGAGATCTGCTATACCAGATGGGGCTGCAGCTTTGGAGGGAGGAGGCACTTTCTCTTGAGGACCTGTGAAAAAGGCGCAGGTGTGTGAGGAGCCTACCACACCTTCACCACCAAGCTGTCCGCGCAGGAACCAGAGGTGGAAGGGTCTCTCCTGTCCCAGTTTCCTGGATCAACTGCAGCTGAACACGAGATTAACATGCAGCAGAAAGGGTCTGGCTACCAAGAGGGGACAGGCTCATGCTACATCTTTGTTCTGCTGCCCTCAAGGGTCAAAACCCTGATGAACCAGAGGTTTCCACCAGTTTTAT